ATGGTCGATTTTATTTTGGCGGAGGGACAGATCTGTCGATTTTTGTTCATTAACTGAGAAGTTCTCTGTGTGACTACGTTCGCTGGACTGGCAAGGCAGCAGCATGAGGAGGCGGTACAGGGGCCCATGGCAGATTAGGGGCCTGGCCTGGCAGTATGGGAGGCCCGTAATCTTGCCAGCACCCTATGACAAAAAATTGGCAACACACCAGCAGTGTGTGAGGAGACCTGAAAGTGGCACATGGCATAGAGACCCACTGTGAGACAGCCTGCGTGGACTGGCAGCGCATGAGGAGGCGGGTACAGGGGCCCATGAACACAGATTAGGGGAACCTGGCACAGCAGTTTAGACAGGAGGCCCGTAATCTGCAGCAGGCCTATGACAAAAATGGGGCACATGGCAGATTAGGGGCCTGGCAGCAGCTGTGTGGGAGGAGACCTGAAAGTGGCACCCCCCTATGAGCAGAGTGTGGCGATGGAGACAGCAGCAATGGGAGGCGTAGTGTGGCGAGGGGACATGAGAGACTCTGGACCTGGCAGCAGCATGAGGAGGCGGTTATAGGGGCCCATGGCAGATTTGCAGATTAGGGGCCTGGCAGCAGCTATGGGAGGCCCGTAATCTGCCAGCACCCTATGACAAAAAAATGGAACACACCAGCAGAGTGTGAGGAGACCTGAAAGTGGCACATGGCAGAGTTGTGGCGATGGAGACCAGCAGCAATGGGAGGCCGTACAGGGAACCCAATGAGAGACACTCTAGGGACCTGGCAGCAGCTTGAGGAGGCGGACCTATAGGGGCCCATGGCAGATTAGGGGCCTAAGGCAGCAGCTATGGGAGGCCCGAAATCTGCCAGCACCCTATGACAAAAAATGAGGAACACACCAGCAGTGTGTGAGGAGACCTGAAAGTGGCACATGGCAGAGTGTGTGGCGATGGAGACAGCAGGCAATGGGAGGCCGTACAGGGACCCATGAGAGACTCTGGACTGGCAGCAGCATGAGAGGAGGGGTAAGGGGCCCATGGCAGATTAGGGCCTGGCAGCAGCTATGGAGGCCCGTAATCTGCCAGCACTAATGACAAAAAATGGAACACACCAGCAGTGTGAGGAGACCTGAAAGTGGCATGAGTGTGGCGATGAGACAGCACTGTACAGGACCCCTGGAGCAGCATGAGGAGGGCTGTACAGGGGCCCATGGCAGATTAGGGGCCTGGCAGCAGTATGGGAGGCCCGTAAATTGCCAGCACCCTATGACAAAAAATGGAACACACCAGCAGTGTGTGAGGAGCACCTGAAAGTGGGACCATGGGCAGAGTGTGGCGATGGATGACAGGCAGCCAATGGGAGGTCCAGTTGACAGGGACCCATGAGAGACACTGAGGACCTGGCAGCAGCAGCTGATGAGGCGGGCGGGTATAGGGGCCCATGGCAGATTAGGGGGCCTGGCAGCAGCTATGGGAGGCCCGTAATCTGCCAGCACCCCTATGACAAAAAAAATGGAAACACACAACTAGCAGTGTGTGAGGAGACCTGAAAGTGGCACATGGCAGAGTGTGGCGATGGAGACAGCCAGCGAATTGGGTTGCGTACGGCCCAAGCTGCCACCCTCTTCTGGCGCAGATGATGCGGGCAGGTACTATAGCCTGATGACGACTGGCTGGGCATCGCAGCTGCCAAGTGGCCCGTAAATTGCTGCAGCACCCCTCATGATCAAAAGGGAACTCCAGCCTCACTGAGGAGACCTGAAAGTGGCTGGCGTTTGGAGACCTGGGAACAGGAGACAGACCTGTCTCTAGACCGGCTACCGAGCCACTCTCCATCGGCACTACTTCTTCGCCTGGCTGCTGAAGAGGTATGGGAGGCCGATAATCTCCCCCAGTTCCTGACCACCCAGCTCTGTTAGGAGACTGTACTGGATGGCACCGTGTGGCACTGGCAGCTTCTGGCCTGCGAATAAGTGGCTGCCTCGACCCTTCCTCTGTGCCAACGTCTGCTCGCTCCTAAAACATTGCCTCCTCTGCCACTCCTTGCGATGTGTCTGACATACTCTTTAATGGGAACACGACAAGCTGTGTCCCTGTAACAATTCTGTGTCTGTCCCTGAGTAACAATTCTGTGTCCTGAGTAACGTTTCTGTGGCCCTAAGTAAACAGTTCTGTGGCCCTCAGTAACATTTCTGTGTCCCAAGTAACAATTCTGTGTCCCTCAGTAACAATTCATGTGTTCTCATCTACTGAGTATAACAATTCTGTGTGTCCCTCCAGGATGTCTGTGACAGACCCTGTCAGTAAATAGCCGGTTCTGTGTCCATCTCCTAACATTTCTGTGCCTGTCCCTGAGTAACAATTCTGTGTCTGTCCCTGAGTAAGCAATTCTGTGTCTGTCCCTGTAGGTAACAATTCTGTGTCCCTATGAGAACGTTTCTGTGGCCCTAAGTAACGTTTCTGTGGCCCTAGAGTAAAACAATTCTGTGTCCTCAGTAAACAATTCTGTGTCTCCCTAAGTAACATTCTGTGGTCCCTCAGTAACGGTTCTGTGGCCCTCAGTAACAATTTCTGTGTGTCCCTCAGTAACAATTCTGTCTGTGTCCCCCTGAGTAACAATTCTGTGTCCCTAAGTAACAATTTCTGTGTCCCCTAAGTAACAATTCTGTGTCTGTGGCCCTCAGTAACGAATTCTGTGTCTGTCCCTGAGTAACAATTCTGTGTCCCTAAGTAACGTTTCTGTGGCCCTAAGTAACGTTTCTGTGGCCCTAAAGTAACGTTCTGTGTCCCTCAGTAACAATTCTGTGTCTCCCTCAGTAACAATTCTGTGTCCTCAGTAACAATTCTGTGTCCCTGAGTAAAACGTTCTGTGTCCTGTCCCTGAATTTAACAAAACTCTGTGTGTCCCTGAGTAACATTTGTTCTGTGTCCCTAAGTAACAGTTTTCTGTGTCCCCTGAGTAACAATTCTGTGTCCCTGAGTAACAATTTTTCTGGCCCCTAAGTAACAGTTTCTGTGTCCCCTCAGAACAATTCTGTGTCCCTAAGTAAACAATTTTCTGTGTGTCCCTGAGTAACAATTTGTGTCTGTCCCTGAGTAAGAATTCTGTGTCTGTCCCTGAGTAACAATTCTGTGCCCTAAGTAACGTTTCTGTGGCCCTAAGTAACAGTTCTGTGGCCCTCAGTAACAATTCTGTGGCCCTCAGTAACAATTCTGTGTCCCTCAGTAACAATTCTGTGTCTGTCCCTGAGTAACAATTCTGTCTGTGTCCCTAAGTAACAATTCTGTGTCCCTCAGTAACAATTCTGTTGTCCCTCAGTAACAATTCTGTGTCCCTCAGTAACAATTCTGTGTCCCTCAATAAACAATTCTGTGTCCCTGAGTAACAATTCTGTGTCTGTCCCTGAGTAAGAATTCTGTGTCTGTCCCTGAGTAACAATTCTGTGTCCCTAAGTAACGTTTCTGTGGCCCTAAGTAACGGTTCTGTGGCCCTAAGTAACGTTTCTGTGGCCCTAAGTAACGTTTCTGTGGCCCTAAGTAACGTTTGTGTTCTGTGCCCTAAGTAACGTTTCTGTGGCCCTAAGTAACGGTTCTGTGGCCCTCAGTAACAATTCTGTGGCCCTCAGTAAACAATTCTGTCTGTCCCTAAGTAACAATTCTGTGGCCCTAAGTAACGTTTCTGTGGCCCTAAGTAACGTTTCTGTGGCCCTAAGTAACGATTCTGTGGCCCTAAGTAACGTTTCTGTGGCCCTAAGTAACAATTTCTGTGTCCCCAGTAAGTAATTCTGTGTCTGTGGCCCTAAGTAACAATTCTGTGGCCCTAAGTAACGTTTCTGTGGCCCTAAGTAACGATTCTGTGGCCCTCAGTAACAATTCTGTGGTCCCTCAGTAACAATTCTGTGTCTGTCCCTAAGTAACAATTCTGTGGCCCTAAGTAACAATTCTGTGGCCCTAAAGTAACGATTCTGTGGCCCTAAGTAACGATTCTGTGGCCTAACGTTTCTGTGGCCCTAAGTAACGGTTCTGTGGCCCTCAGTAACAATTCTGTGTCCCTCAGTAACAATTCTGTGTCTGTCCCTAAGTAACAATTCTGTGGCCCTAAGTAACGTTTCTGTGGCCCTAAGTAACGTTTCTGTGGCCCTAAGTAACGTTTCTGTGGCCCTCAGTAACAAATTCTGTGTCCCTCAGTAACAATTCTGTGTCTGTCCCTAAGTAAACAATTCTGTGGCCCTAAGTAACGATTTCTGGCCCTCAGTAACAATTCTGTGGCCCTAAGTAACAATTCTGTGGCCCTAAAGTAACGATTCTGTGGCCCTAAGTAACATTTCTGTGGCCCTAAGTAACGATTCTGTGGCCCTAAGTAACAATTTCTGTGGCCCTAAGTAATGTTTCTGTGGCCCTAAGTAACGGTTCTGTGTCCCTCAGTAACAATTCTGTGTATCCCTCAGTAACAATTCTGTGTCTGTCCCTAAGTAACAATTCTGTGGCCCTAAGTAAAGTTTCTGTGGCCCTAAGTAACGTTTCTGTGTCCCTAAGTAACGATTCTGTGGCCCTAAGTAACGTTTCTGTAGCCCTAAGTAACGTTTCTGTGGCCCTAAGTAACGGTTCTGTGGCCCTCAGTAACAATTCTGTGCCCTCAGTAACAATTCTGTGTCTGTCCCTAAGTAACAATTCTGTGGCCCTAAGTAACGTTTCTGTGGCCCTAAGTAACGTTTTCTGTGGCCCTAAGTAACGTTTCTGTGGCCCTAAGTAACGGTTCTGTGGCCCTCAGTAACAAATCTGTGTCCCTCAATAACAATTCTGTGTCTGTCCCTAAGTAACAATTCTGTGGCCCTAAGTAACGATTCTGTGGCCCTCAGTAACAAATCTGTGTCCCTCAGTAACAATTCTGTGTCTGTCCCTAAGTAACAATTCTGTGGCCCTAAGTAATGTTTCTGTGGCCCTAAGTAACGATTCTGTGGCCCTCAGTAACAATTCTGTATCCCTCAGTAACAATTCTGTCTGTCCCTGAGTAACAATTCTGTGGCCCTAAGTAACGTTTCTGTGGCTGTGGCCCTAAGTAACGTTTCTGTGGCCCTAAGTAACGATTCTGTGGCCCTAAGTAACGTTTCTGTGGCCCTCAGTAACAATTCTGTGTCCCTCAATAACAATTCTGTGTCTGTCCCTAAGTAACAATTCTGTGGCCCTAAGTAATGTTTCTGTGGCCCTAAGTAACGTTTCTGTGGCCCTCAGTAACAATTCTGTGTCCCTCAATAACAATTCTGTGTCTGTCCCTAGTAACAATTCTGTGGCCCTAAGTAACGTTTCTGTGGCCCTAAGTAACGATTCTGTGGCCCTCAGTAACAAATCTGTGTCTCTCACTAACAATTCTGTGTCTGTCCCTAAGTAACAATTCTGTGGCCCTAAGTAACGATTCTGTGGCCCTCAGTAACAATTCTGTGTCTGTCCCTAAGTAACAATTCTGTGGCCCTAAGTAACAATTCTGTGGCCCTAAGTAACGATTCTGTGGCCCTCAGTAACAAATCTGTGTCCCTCAGTAACAATTCTGTGTCTGTCCCTAAGTAACGTTTCTGTGGCCCTAAGTAACGATTCTGTGGCCCTCAGTAACAAATCTGTGTCCCTCAGTAACAATTCTGTGTCTGTCCCTAAGTAACAATTCTGTGGCCCTAAGTAACGATTCTGTGGCCCTCAGTAACAAATCTGTGTCCCTCAGTAACAACTCTGTGTCTGTCCCTAAGTAACAATTCTGTGGCCCTAAGTAACGTTTCTGTGGCCCTAAGTAACGATTCTGTGGCCCTCAGTAACAATTCTGTATCCCTCAGTAACAATTCTGTCTGTCCCTGAGTAACAATTCTGTGTCCCTAAGTAACGTTTCTGTGGCCCTAACTAACGATTCTGTGGCCCTAAGTAAACGTTTCTGTGGCCCTATGTAACGTTTCTATGGCCCTAAGTAACGATTCTGTGGCCCTAACTAACGTTTCTCTGTCCCTAACTCTCTCCCTGCATACAGCCAGGTCTGCCTCTGTTGAATGACTGGAGGCAAATGGAGAATTCTAAAATGGCCGCCATTTATAGCTCGACCATTACACTGTGCTGATCGCTTCTCGGCCTTTTGGCTAAGATCAAGTGTAGTATCTGTTCTTATCAGTGTCCAGTGGGGGTGCTCCCGACCATTCTAGCTTTGCGGGGATGGTTGTTGTATAGTACCCTCACTGGAATGATGGGGGTCCGGAAGGCTAGTACCGGAGGGACAGAAACCGGGGAGCGCCACGAGTTAAGCTGGGGCCCCGGGAGTAATTCCTCTGGGAAGACTGGAAAGACCCAGTACCTCCTGATTTGGACGGATCTACCTTGGTCTGGCCAGGGGCTGGGAAGGCAGAGAGTCCGCAAACTAGGTGCCCCCTGAGTAGTCGCCTCAGGGGTGCTCTGAGTAGCACTTGGGTGTGGGACCCCACGTTGTGAATGAGCACATGGTCACCAAGTTTAAATACTTTTTGCACTGCGCCTCTAGGACCGGGCCTTTTGGTCAAGTTCTGGGCAATTTTTTTTGCTACAGGCCTCAGGGTCTGGTCAGTGCACAATTTGGGCACGACACTTTTTATTATTTTTATAGATTTATTTAATTATTTATTTATTTATT